GGCCCAGGGCCGGCACTGCGGGCGGGGCCGCCGCGCCGTCACCCCGGCGTTGCACACGCTCAAGCCGGGCTGGGCCTCCGGGGGCGGGGTGAACGGGCCCGCTGTCTCCCAGGAACACGCAGGCCTGGGGGCCGGGGCTCCGGGGAGCCGCAGGGCGGTGCGCGGGCGCGTTCAGGCTTCTGTAAAGGGCAGGTTTCTTTGCTTCTCTAGGGAGTTTGCCTGCTGGAAACCGCGCGCCTGGGAGGGCGTCTCAGGTGAGTTGACACGTTGGTGCTGGAACGAGTGCACCCCGAAGTACGACTGTTGGCACATTCAGCCCCTTGCGCAGTGTCCTGTGTCGGGGTAGTTGACCTTCGTGCACACGGTCGGGGAATCTCCCTACTGCCTGCCCCCAGAGGCGTTGCAGGTGTGGCTTGTGTCACACGTGTGTCATTCGGTGGCAGAAAGAAGAGAGGCTTATCTACGCCCAGTGTTCCAGCTCGTGGACGTCTGGATGATGGATAGTCTGACACCCGACCAAGCGCTTTGGGCCTTGCCTGAGGCCCCCCTGTGAAAACCCTCCCACTGTCTCCTAGTTCTTGGATAGTCTCAGATGGGCACGTGGTCGTAGGTAGTGGGCCACTCGATTTCAGGTAGGCAGAACAAAGGACGCTTCTCAGTAGGACCTTCCTGCCACCTGCCTGGCCGGCAGGGTAGGTTTTTCAGAATCCTGCAGAAGCAGGGGAGGTTTGCCGGAACCTGGTCCGGTTAACAGTAACGATGACAGCCGACGTTTATTATACTCTCATTTCGGGCTGAGCGTTTTTGTTCCTTAATACAGGAACCAGGGCAACGGCTGTTGCCCCGGAGGTGCCCAGAAAAACTTCGCGCCACCATCCAGACCGAGGTAAGAGGAGAGACGAAGCTGGCCTCCAGGCTGGTGGGAGGGGACGGCTGCCCTGCAGGTGCTGGACCTGCCGGCACCCCAGATCCAGCTGCTCTGCTGTACCTGGGACATCAGGGCAAATAGGAAGTGGCTATTTCTACGCTCAGTGCTCAGAACAGTGAGCACTAAGAATGGTTTGTAGCCGGACATGCCTTAGAGCAGCTGTGGATTGCTGCTTGGCAGGCACACCACACCTTCGGGCTTCTAGCTAGGAACGCCGAGCATGGCACCAGATGCTTCGGTTTTCTGATTCGTCTGTAAGATAACACTCATGAGGTTCGAGTGAGCCGTGCATGTGTATGAGCTGGTGGCCAGCTTTTGGCACAATGGGATTGACCAGGAGAGGGTCTCCTTCCTGGAAATGATCATTCTGTAGGTCTGGAGGGTTTTTTGGAGTCCTTGCCAAAGGTGTCATGTGTCTGGCTGAGATCTGCTGTGAGTGGCCTGGGGTGTGTCGTCGCTCCCTGCGGGGGCTTCCGAACCCTGTGCCCACATACACCCCTGTTTTGAGGACCCTTGAGACTAGCGGCGCAGGAGGCCATCTGGTCAGGCTGGGGAGGGGGAGGGACCCCAGAGGGCTGCAGCTGGTTTTGTCCTGCCAAGGAGACAGGTCGGCCCACGTGGAGCCCTGTAAACCAGGGCTCTGGTGAGAGGAGGGGGGTGGCCTCAGTAACCCCACTGGAGTGACAGGTGTGACTGAGGCTTTCCCGCCTTCTTGCAGGTGGAGAGCTCAACACTGGTACGAGCAGGCGAGACCCGGGCTGGCTGCTCGGGGTGACAGACTGCCCAATTCCAGGTTAAAAAAAGGAGAGTAAGATGTTTTGCATTTATTTTCTGAAGCATCTGTGCAGAACGGTGTGTTGGAAAGCAGTCCCGTGTGTTCAGCTTGTGAAGCTTGCACCGGGGAGATGGATCTGCTGGGCCAAGGCAGCGGGAACTGTTAAGTGTTGGTAGACACTGTTCCGGATTCCAGAAAGTCCAGGCGGGCTAAGGCAGAGAGAAGGGGTCGGAATAAACAGGGCCCAGCGGTCGTTCGCAGAGGCACAACCAGATGCCGCCGTGGCCTGGGCTCTGCGATCAGGTGGGGAGCCACTTCAGGGCCGGCACGCCCCAGCTTGGAGGTCCCAGGCCTGTAGGGGTGGCCCAGTGTGTGTGCCTCATAAGGCAGGTGAAGGATGAGCAGGCTCTCCCCCTGGCACCCTGTGTCCTGCTTCTTAATCCTCCAGCCATTGTGTTCTAGAGGGAAGTAAAATCTTTTTTTTTTTTTTTAAGATTTTATTTATTT